GAACCCGCCACCTTAGGTGTACGTGGCTGGCGCCCTAGCCCGTTGAGCTATAGGCGCCGAGCCCTCTTAGCATTTCTTAAGTTTTCTGCTTATTAAATGAAGTGCTGGATAGCTATTAAAATGCTTTGAAAACTATAAAATAAAAGCTCACAGAATATGCTGTAGAGATACCAACTATGTATTTAGTCAGTGTTTTAGGGAGGCATACTGAGTACCCTGAACCCCTAATTGCCCTTGTTCTTGGTTTGTAATTGGGAAAGCTGCCTAAATATGGCCACACTTGTGTTGTTTTTATGTTTTTCTTCAGTAGATGATTGATTTATATGTTTCTGAGTACTATAAACTAAGAATGTTAAAGGAAAACTGCCATTCTCCATAGTGTTCTATTAAGATAGTAACAGTTGAACAGTTACAAGCAGGAACTTTCTTGGGGCTCAGTTTCTAGTTTGACCACTGGGACGTGGGGCTTTCAGTTGTGGTTCCTCACATCAGGAATTTACTTCCTCTCTGTGGTTTGTGCAAACCCATCTCACCTTCCAGCACATGGTTTGATTCCTCATTTTAATGGAAGTTTTTCCCTCATTGGTATATTTAAAGCACAGTGTTTTGGACTGATAAAAAGAAAATTACAGTAAATAGTTTTTAAAAGTGGTGACTATAAAAATGTTTACTTGGCTAGCTAGTAAATTCCTGAGGTAGCAATTTGTGGAGTCCTTTTAATGGGTCTGTTAAGACATTGAGGAAATCTGCATACAGAGAGCAGGTACACGCTGTACTCTTATAATTGAAATAAGCCTGGTATAAAGGTAAGGCACAGATTGGTACAACATGTTGTTTCTAACATGTTGTTGCTTTTCATGACTATGTAATGACTCCAGGGACAGTATCATGAATCAGATAATGGGGCTGGCCTTCAGGCAGTCCTGATCCAATTTTTGCAATAAATGGGTAGCGTGTGATAATAAAAAAAACTATGCATAAAGGAGAGGAAGAAGTAATTGCATATCAGCTTTGTGGTGTTTGGAGGTGAGTCCCAGAAGTATGTACTTCCTTAATTAACAATGACAGACTTGGGCTCAAGGTACACTAGGCTGTTTTTAAGTGTTAAAAGTTAACCATGTAGAGGCGAAACTGTATTTTCAAGGGAAGAGTGATGGCTTGTACTCAGAACCCCTGAAGTCCTACTCTGGTGTGCCACTTTCCCACTATGGATTCCTAGGCATAGCTTCTTCATCTGTGAAATGGAACAGACATGTTATGACATGGAGTGAATGAATTAACACTACATTTTATCAAATCTCAGATAAAGTTAATTATAAGTCACACCTTTATGTTTATACCATTAAAAAGAAGAAATCCTGTCAGTTGGTTTCAAGTGTGAGATTCATCTGAAACTCAGAGATGCAATGGACAAACTGCATCTTAAAAATGAATAAAATACAGTGTATGTGAAAGTGCTTTGCTGTGTAATCCTCAGGAGTCATGTTTAATTTTTACTGTATGAGTCAGGGGAGTGGGGCAAAGTTATTAAGAACAAATAAATACCAGTGGGGAAGCACAGGGCAAACTGGATGAGAGAACAGTTAGCTACAAGGAGGAAGAGAAGAGGGTGATTTCTCTTGGTCTTAATTCTCAGAAAATTGCCTCTCACTGCCTCAGGCTTCTCACCTTGTTTAGTTTTCCAGATAGATGCCAGTGTGTCTATAGTTAAGGAATTCTTATTCCCAGAGAAAGTTGACTTTCTCCAGGTTGGTTTTGTGAAGACTCACCAAGTTACCTCCTGTGTTAAATGTCTGGAGTTTACTCTGATTTAGACTTCGTTGATGTCAACCTAGCAGGTTCTTGACATCCCTTTACTTTATTTTGTTCTTTAGCATAGACTTAAGGAAGGCTTTGGCCAGAGACTGAGCCCCGCTTGTAACAAAGGGATTTCAGCATTGTTTTCACAAAGGGACCTTTTGTTATTGAAAAAGAACTCAGTCCTGTTTGCAGTTCATTTTAGACTTCTCTGATCTCACTGAAGTTTTTTTTAGACTCAATATGTTTTGCTCTCACAGGAGTTTGGATAAGTTTTCTTTAAGTACTGTAGCTTCACTTAAAAAAAAAATGGTGGCATGGTTAACTTGTCTCTCTGCCTTCCCTTTGGTTCATTGAATACTTAGCCATAGATGAAGATTTTAAGAAAAGCTTATTTCTTAGTAAAACATTAGTAGTTGAGACTAATAGTATGTTCTAACAAAGAAAATATTCAAAATAAGATGTTTCCTGGATAACTAAGGCCATGCTAAAAACTAGGTGTAAAAATATAAGAAAGAACTTAGAGCTTCCTATAGTGCCAGAAAGTGAGGAAGTGGTAAAGGATCCTGCAGGCAATGTGAAGGAGCTCCCAGTGGACAAAACTAGAATCATTTGAATCACAAAATAAATTATGATGGTATTGGATTATAACCCAGATAATAAATATCCATGAGTACATAACTTTAAACATGACTGAATAAAATAAGTAAATAGAAGAGAAGGGACTAATCTACAGGAGAATTCTAAGTAATAAATGTAGAAGGAAATGAAAAATAGAAAATCACCATTAAAGCATCACAGTATTAGTTGCTGTAGGCAAGATGCACTGACAAATGCAAAAATGGGTATACCAAACTTTAAAGAGAAACTAGGTATTTGCATAGCCTCAGAGTATCTCCCCTAAATATTTACTAATTGTTGTAGTGTTTTTAACATGTCTGTACAAACTTTTTAGCACTCCTTCCCCCAGGAAGTACACCTTACTTCCCTTCCCTGTGGGTGTGCATTGGACTTTGTGCTGTGCTCTTGAAGAATAGAACACATGAAGGGAAGGTGGCAACTTTGCAGTGGCCAGAGCCACTTAGGCTGTGTGTTCAAAGTTCACCTCACCAGGAATAAGTCATGTTCCCTGATGTAATGCAAGGAGGAGGGCAGTCTACCCTGAAAGTGTACTAGATTCTTCCCAAGTATTTATATCCTTGGTCTAATCCTGAGAAAGATATAAGGTGACCCAGATTGAGGAACATTCAGAATAACCATCAAAGTTATGAAATACAAGGAAAGACTGAGACACTAACAGGAGACTGGGAGATACGGTGATTAAATGCAATGTTGGTAGTCTGGATTGAAACCTGGAAAAAGAAAAGGACTGTAGTGGAGAGATAGTAAAGTCCAAATAAAGTCTGAAGTTCAGTTAATGGTACTGTACTTATGTTATTGTCCTAGTTTTGATAAATGTACCATGGTATTGTAAGCTGTTAACATTAGTGGAAGCTGTGTGAAGGGTGCGTGGGAACTCTGTATTAACTTCTGTAGATTTGAGATTATTTATTGTTGTATTAAAAAGAAGTTAAGTAAACTGTCTGGTTTTGGCTGTGATGGGTCTGGACATTCATTAAGTAAAGAACAGAGCTCCTTGCTTTTCTGGTTCTCTTAGAACATTCCTTCCAGGTTACAGAAGACTTCTGGCAATTAACCCACTGGCCTTTTACCAGGTCTCCAGCAGATGACCTTTGATCTCTGTCATAGCAGTCCTCTTGAACTACATGTGTACCGCACCCTGAATTGCTTTAAAAGAAGCTGCTTACCTTAACTTGGCCCTGTCACCATTTTCCATTTTTGGTGGCAGCCCCACTCTTAATGATGCTCTTAATAAATCTCTGCTATTAATTCTACTTGGCTTTGTTCACTGTGACACCCTTCCACCTTTTGACATCTAACAAAAGCGTAACAATTTCTTACTCCAGATTGGTCATCAGCTTTATCTGTATCTGGAGTTATTATTTTATTAACCCTTGGTCCCATTTATATACAGACAAAAATATATTGGTTCACTAATTAAACTTGATTTTGGAGTATACAAGTTTTTAATATTATTTATCTCTCTTTCCAGGGGAGGTGCCTGCTGCAGAAGTTTCCTCATCTCTTGTGATCTTATCTGTGTGCAGTTTCATGATATTAATAGTGTTAATTGCAAACTGTGTATCCTGCTGTAAGGACCCAGAAATAGACTTTAAGGTGAGCACAGAGGGTAGGAACATTGAAAATCATCTTCTAATATGTTTATCAAAGAATGGCTGTATATCACAGTCCCTTGGGAGCAGGGTCAGCAAACTTTATTGATAATGGCCAGAGAGTAAATATTTTCTGCCATAGTGAATAGTAAATTCTGTGGGCCATACCATTTCTGTCACAGCAGCTCAACTCTCAGCTCTGTAATTGTAGCACTACATCAGTGATAGTAGGTACTGAGTTAACAATGGTCATGGTTTTGTGCCAATAAAACTTTTATTTACAAAATAGGTGGTTTGGCTTTGACTTACACTGTAGTTTGCTGATCCTGTTTTAGGGTATCATTGACAGTTAACCACTTATTTGTGGTGAATTTAAGTTTTTGCTAAGCTTTAAGGAATAAAGCATTATGATTGAATTTACTTGCCATAGATGTGTGAGGAAGAACAGGCTGGCTTTGTGGGTTTTTTCAAACTTTTGTAGGCTAGTGAATTTGTGGTTATTAAAATTACTGAGACAGAAGGATCCCTGAATGTACCTTGTGTATTAGGAAAGAACCTGGAAACCTCCACTTTCCTAAAGGGGGAGAAGAAATACTGCTGGTTGTAAAATCCTGGGGGGCGGGGGAGGCAAGAGGGGGGGATAGATGAGAAGGGCTGGTGGTGTAGCAGCCAATAAGTGGTATCTACCAGTAAACTAGCCAGGAAAACCTGCTATGAGCCTGCTAGCATGTATTAGGGCTTAGTAATTACTTGTTAAGAGGGAATATATGGGAAAATAACCCTGAAAGAATGCATGCATGCCTAGAAAATGGCCATGTACCTGAATTACAGCTGGCCTAGGAATCCTGAGGGCCGCTGGCTCAAGTTAGGAAGAAGAGAAAGTTATCTTCTGCCTAGAAGAACTTCTTTTGACTGGACATGGAGGCCTGATTTCCAGAGCCTCATACCTGTTTTGATAGTATAGGTTCTCTCTCTCTCTCTCTTTTTATGCAGTTTTTGGTCGGGGCTGGGTTTGAACCCGCCACCTCTGGTATATGGGACCGGCGCCCTACTCCTTTGAGCCACAGGCGCCGCCCATGTAGGTTCTCTCTTGCTTGAGTCTAGTGCAGTGGTTCTCAACCTTCCTAATGCCATGGCCCTTTAATACCATTCCTCATGTTGTGGAGACCCCCAACCATAAAATTATTTTCGTTGTTACTTCATAACTGTAATTTTGCTACTGTTAAGAATCCTAATGTAAATATCTGATATGCAGGATGTATTTTCATTGTTACAAAGGGGTCATGACAGCTCTGAGGAGACAGGAGATGGGCTGTTCTCCAGGCTCAGCAATGTCATTATGCATGCAGAAAGAAGGCTGAGGACCAAGGAAAGTGGCAGGAAAAGACTCACTAACATACCTCATTTTCTTTTGAAGATTTTGGCTCAGACCATTAGGGCTTTATTTACAGCATCAGTCCCTAGGCCTTAGAATCAGTACAGAATCTTCCTTGGGAACTTAATGACTACAGTATGGGAGGCAGTTATAGTAGGCTGTGTCCCCTTTCAGTCTTACTGAGGGACTTTGCACAGAAACCTGGCCATTTCAGGACAAAGATAAAGTCTGATCAGTGTTGCCGATAATGAAATCCAGTCTGTGTCTCACATTTCATGATACCTCATTCTTGCCTTAGATTGTTCTAAGCTTTTTGAATCTCAGTATCAAATGAAGGAAGTTTATTATGATGCAGATTTAAGGCAAGACCCAGAAATCTATATTGTTATTAAACTTCAACAGGTGATTCTGATGCAGTGTATTATAGGACCTTCTCTAGCTCTAGAATGTATGTGACTAAGTAAGAGTATCACCTGCTGTGATTTGTTGGTTTCCTTTAGACTTAGAGCTATGCAATTTTAGAGCTGATGATCCTGTGGCTGTCATTTTATGGACCCAGAAGCTACAGTGTGGTAAAATAAGTGACTTGCCAAGTTCATCCAGATAGCTGCTGGTGTAAGATAAAACAAGTGACCCTGATTTATCTTATTTTTTTCTTCTTATTATATTTTATTACTTCTCTCAATCTTTAAAATCATCTGCTAGAGTATCTAATGATATATTATGTTGCTGCAGAGTTTTCAGTGTATTACTCTTAAGTAGGAGTGATAGACAAAGTCTTTTTTTTTTTTTTTTGAGACAGAGTCTCTTTTGCCCTGGGTAGAGTACCGTGACAACATCATAGCTCACAGCAACCTCAAACTACTGGGTTCGAGCAATCCTCTTGCCTCAGTCTCCTGAGTAGTTGGTACTATAGGCGCTCACCACAACGCCCAGCTAGTTTTGGTTTTTTCTTTTTTTCCTCTATTTTTAGTAGAGATGGAGTCTCAAACTTGCACAGGCTGGTTTCAAACTCCTCTGAAAGCTTCCCAAAGTGCTTGGATTATAGGAGTAAGCCACCATGCCTGGCTAACAAAGCCTTTTTAATGAGATAACCTTTAAGAATGTCCAAAAAGTAAAATCAAAGAATATTTTTCAGCTTAGAAGTGAAGTTACAGTACCTTGTTTTTCTTGCTCCCTTCCCCCTTGATACAAATACCCATAATATTCTTTAATGCTGTGGTCCCCTGCCCCTGTGCCAGTTCCCAACTCCTGGGCCACAGACAGATCTGTGGCCTATCAGGAACAGGGCCACACAGCAGGAAGTGAGTGGTGATGACTGAGCAAAGCTTCATCTACATTTACAGCCATTCCACTCAAATCGTCACCTGAGCTCTGCCTGCTGTCAGGTCAGGGGTGGCATTAGATTCTCAAAGGAGCGTGAACCCTACTGTAAACTATGCTTACAAGGGGTCTAGGTTGCAGGCTCCTTACCAGAATCTAATGCCTGATGATCTGAGGTAGAGCTGAGACTGTGATGCTGGTGCTGAGGAACTGCTGCAAATACTGGATGGGACTGTCCAGTTTCAGGAGAATAGCTCAGGGCTTCTACTGATTCTGCATTTGATGAGTTGTAAATTGTTTCATTATATGTTACAGTGTAATAATAGAATTAAGTACACAATAAGCATAATGCTTTTGAATCTTCCGTAAGCCCCCCCGCCCCAAAAGTTATCTTCCATGAGACTGGTCCCTGGTGCCAAAAAGGTTGGGGACTGCTGCTTTAATGTGTTTGAGAACATTATGTAAGAATAATGTCTTCTCACATGCATATGTAAATGTAAATATTAATCAACTTTTTTTTTTTAAGAGACAGAGTCTCACTTTATCGCCCTAGGTGGAGTGTTGTGGAGTCACAGCTCACAGCAACCTCCAACTCCTGGGCTTAGGTGATTCTCTTCCCTCAGCCTCCCAAGTAGCTGGGACTACAGGTGCCTGCCACAATGCCTGGCTATTTTTTGTTGTAGTTTGGCTGGGGCTGGGTTTGAACCCGCCAACCTTGGTATATGGGGCCGGTGCCCTACTCACTGAGCCACAGGCACCACCCAATATTAATCGACTTTAAAAGAAATCTACTTTTTTTTTTTTTTTTGAGACAGAGCCTCAAGCTATCCCCCTGGGTAGAGTGCCATGGCATCACGCTCACAGCAACCTCCAACTCCTGGGCTCA